ACGAGGTCATTCGGGCATTCCGACGGCGACCTTGCTCCCATTGCTACCACTTGCAAGTCTTGAACGACCACGGAAGCGAAATGACTTTCGATCTAAATCCACGAAGGTGTAAGCTCCTTGCTGGAATGCCAAGTTGTGGATAGAAACTTGACTCGAATAAGTCTCTCCACAATGAAGAGGCTGAAATGCTAGATCAGATAGCCCAAAATAATCTAGCACATCGACGAACGACACACAGGGACGTCGTGGCGTATCGAGTGGACAATGCGTCACGATGAAATGGGTTGGTGGGAGGCTTGAGGTGTACCTGACTAGTGCAGATTTGGGGAAAGCCTCGTCCAGGCCGCCCTAGATCTCCATCCCCTGTCTGTGCTTGACTGCTGGCAACAAGATAGTTGACGCCGCATCTTACGATAGTCGAATTGTGGACTCATCAATCAGTCGTCAAATAATGGAAAATCACCCTCCAGGAGAATGAATATGAAGACGACGATAGCAGAGTTGTCAGATCGTTGAAGAAGGGGTATCTTTGATTGCAGGTGACAAATATTGAAAGTATTCGAAAATTGCCCGTATAGACTATTGAGCAGTACGGCGCTCGTCGGGCATATTCTTCCGTTCTTTCGCCGTGACCTTCTTGCGACGGCGTTCGATGACCTTTTCGCGCTGCTTCGATTTCATGTTCTGGAAGCGATCGACCAATGCGATCTTCTTTTGCTCGGCTGCGATATATTGTCAGTACGTGCTTGCTGGAATGGAGGGTATGCAACAACTTACACTTCTTCAAGAAGAAAGGCTGCTTGCCCTCCTTGACAAGCTCCTTCTCCTTCTTCTTGTGCTCCCGTGTCACCTCCTGTAGCTTCTCCTTGTTCTCGCGGGCCTTTTGTTGCGACTCCATGGAGAGTAGCTTCTTCTTCAGCTGCTCCTGCTCGACCGGGTTCTTCGTCTTCTTTATAGTCTGACGTAGTTCAGAGATCTCGGATTTTCGGTAGTCGTTAAGGAAATCGTAACGCTTTTTGACCACGAACTCATCTGGCTGGGGTCCTGAGGCATTGTCGAACCGGGGGTCACGGAAGACTGGCTTCTTCACATCGACTACGTTCCGCTTACGTGACACCGCACGCTTGCTCGACTGGACAGCGGGGGCGTGTTTGCTCGAGCGCGCTTTTGGAGCTGCGTCGGAGTCGGAGTCTTCATCCTCGTCGGCTTCCTGAGTGTCTCGTTTGCTCTCGCTTTTGCTCTTGCTCTTCTTGTCCGTGTTCGCTTTCTTGCTAGGTTGTGCACCGTTCGCAAGTTTTTCAGCCTTGATCTGCCGTAACCGCTCCCTCAATGCTTCCAGCTTATCCTCTTGGGATTTCGATGTGTCGTCGCCTCGTTTGCGCTTCCGGTCGGCGGGTTGCTGTTTTGAGATGGCGTCCTGTGCTTTGGCTAATGCTCCAAAAGAGACTTTGCTCATTTGCGCTTTTACTTGGTCATCGTCGGAGGCGTCTGACTTGGTGATGTTAGCGGCATGCACTGGCAGAGTAATAGTCTTGGAGGCTTACCATGTCCTCGTCTCCTGATTCCCCATCTTCCTCGCCATCTGAACTGATCACGTTACCGCCTTCATCTGCCTCAATCACAGATGCAGAGGAGGACCGGTCAGTGACCTCGTAGTAGCTCTCGGCGTCTGAACTGTCTTCGGCTGCGCGCAGAGTGCGATCCAACTTGCTCGCGAGCACCATCGTAAAGCCTGGATTCGAGGATGTCGCCGTGAAAGCGCTTGTTGAGGGTGTATCAGTGTCGCAGCGTTGGTGTTCCTATCGCGTTCTTCTTCGCCGCGGTCTCCAACATTTTTGTGGACCCCACCTGCCGGGGGTTTGATTCGCCGACAAGGCCGACAGACAGGCAACTGCGCCCAAATTTCGAGTGCGCCTTCCACCGTTGGGCTTCATGCTGCGTGCTCTTCGTCTTCACCTCACCAGGCTTTTCACCGCTCACCCCTCCCGTCCCGCCGAGCGTCTGTCGCTATCGCACGTGCTCCATGGCCGCAGTCGCATCAGCTCGGTACAGCATCCCCCACTGCGCTCCAGTCGCAACTTCCTCCACTAACACCGACAACTTCAAGACCAAGACAGGTCGAGACAGCACTCCCCTCGGGCGCCCGCTCTCTGCCTCCGCAAGCGCCAGCATGAACGAGTCATGGAATCCGAACGCGATGCCCTTCCGCCCGGGCGGCTTTGACCGTCGCGAGCAGAGCTTTGGCGCCTTCGAGAACCAGCTTCCACCACCACCCCCTCCTCAGTTCCAGGGACCACCACCAGGACCATACGGGCCGCCGAATGGCTTCTTCAACCAGAACTTTGCGCCGCCTCCGCCGCCGCCCCAGCAGCCCCCGCACATGTTCAGCAACCAGCACCATGACTTCGCAATCCACCAGCAAGCCATGGCATACCACCACTGGATGGTGCAGAACGGCCACCCGCATCACCCACCGCCGCCGCCTCCTTTCCCGCTAGGTCCAGAGGCCTTTTCGGGGCGCCCACCACCACACATGCCGCCTCATGGCCAGCCGCCGTTTGGTGGGCCGCCATTTGGCCAGCAGCCATACGGACATCAGGCGCATCACGGTGGGCCCCCGCCCATGCCTCATCAGCAACACCAGATGTACCCGAACCGCCCGCCCTACCATATGATGCAACAGCAGGCAAACTTCCCGCATGGAGCAAGGAACGAGGACATACAGTATGCTTTCGATGCCTTGTTGAAGGGTCTGAAGTCAAAGAGCCGCACCGCTAATACTCAGAACAGGGCACCAACTCCTCCAGGCAAGAAGTCAAAGTCTGGGCTTACTGCCAACGGGCAAGCTAAGCAGAAAGAGTATGGTACCCTCCACCGCATTGCTTCGTTTGAAGCCAAGAGCTCTCGGATTAACAAACTTTACAGTACCCCGAAGGCACCCAAGGCACCTAAAGCGGCTGGCGAAAAGAAAGGACGCTATGGTGACGAAAAGATCATGCTTCCTGCGCCGCAGCCTACGCAAGAGTATCTGGACCAGGCCGCTGCGGAGCCTACCACCAACGAGACACCGGGCCAAATGCTGGTTATCCTGGATCTCAACGGCACGGTGCTCTTCCGCCCCAATAAAAACGCCAAGACCATGATCGAGCGCCCATACCTGAAGCCTTTCCTGCGCTACCTCTTCGAGAACTTCAAGGTTATGGTGTGGTCTAGCGCGAGGCCAGACAACGTCAAGTCTCTAGTCAGCCAAGCATTGGACAACGATCTACGGTCGAAGCTCGTTGCTCAATGGGCCCGCGACAGTTTTGGACTATCGCCGACAAACTATCAGCAGAACGTACAGGTATATAAGAACCTGAAGCTAGTGTGGAGTCGAAGTCAAATCCAGTCTTTCCATCCAGATTATGAGGCCGGCAGTCGCTTCGGCCAGCACAACACGGTGCTGATTGACGACTCTTCGCTCAAGGCGAGTGCACAGCCGCACAACCTCCTGGAGATTCCCGAGTTCTGCGCTACGACAGAGCAAATGGAAGGGGACGTGCTCCGAGAGGTAGCAGGTTACCTGGAGGCATTAAGGAGGCAGGCGGATGTATCACAATTCATCAAGAAGGTTCCGTTCACTGCCGGCGGAGGGTGGACGTTCGACTGGCCTGACGCGGATGCTGGCGGTGGCGAGATGACCAGCAAGGTGTCTGCGGGTAATGCTCCTACTACGAGTAAGAAGAAAAACAAGAAGAAGCAGGCCAATGCCGCGGCAGCAGCAGCAAGTAGAACTAACACTCCTTTGTCACAGACAATTGATACCCTCGCAGCCGTGTCGCTAGCCGCACCTGCGCAACAGCAACAGCAGCAGCAGCAACAAGCGCAGTCGATGCAACAACACCAGCAAATGCAGCCTCAGCAGCAGCATGCGTAAAAGCAATTTCATTTCGACAGATGGGGAGGGAAGGAAGTACACATGTACAACTTTCGCGGTTTGCCGACTGGGTGCAGGTGATTGCATAGGTAGCTTGGATTTAGCGGATGTCTTCTCTATGTACCAAAAGTATGCGATATGACGGCCGATCATAATGTACAGCTTCAAGCTGAAAACTTCTATACCAGTACTACTGAATGTATTCTACATTGTCCGACTTCACTACATCTGTGGGTGTTGCTCATGATCCACCCGTGCCCCGCCTTGCCCCGCACCTGTGACTCCAAGCTACATTGGAAGGTGTGACCCTCACTATGACATCTCACTCACGCGTCTGAGTACAACTGAGGGTCATGCTTAGCGCAAGCTCGCTCCGCCTCTTGTGCTGTTGCGGTTATATTTTAATTAATTCTGTGTTTCCGTATCGAACAACAACAAAGACCGGTCGCTTAGCTCAGTTGGTTAGAGCGTGGTGCTAATAACGCCAAGGTCGCGAGTTCGACCCTCGTAGTGACCATCTCTCCGGGCTTGCCCGTCAATTTCTTTTTGCTCTTTTGTGAGAATACCATGTCCAAAAGAGTATTCCAAAGTCTAGTAGCAGGAGTGGCAAGAAGATGGGACGTTGTTCTGTCTTTTTGCTGGTGTGAGGTGGTGGAGGGAAGTCACCACCCGACGCGAGAGGAGATCTGAGCATCTCATTGTACGGGGGGTAGGCGAGGAGGCTAGGAAGCTACGTTACCTTGAGATATGGTATAATTTTGGGGGCTGGATTTATGTATGCTGCACGTCTGTTTGGGGGTTTATTGTACAGGTGATATTACAAACAAGCTAGAAGTCTACGTTGCCTTGGATAGGTGCACACCTTTGGTCCCTACACTGATGTAGGCTACATGCCTACGTACTGGTATACTTGTGCGAGGTAGAATGACACCTGTACGAAGTGACTCCGGATTGCATCTTGAATAATCCTGTTATAGTGGCTCCCAATATGCTTCTTGGCGACTTTCTAGTCATTGACAAACGTCCATTGATCATGTATACCGTACAGTCATGCCGTCATGATATCGCGCCTCCGAGGCCATTCCTACACCTTCGGCACTGCATCTCCCACACTCCCCATATCCATACTCAGCGCATCTCTACACGCGCCACCCTCACATACCATGACACCCTCACTCGCCTTATCCATGCTCTTAACAAGCGCGTTCCGCTGACTCAACCACTCACCCATGCCCTTTCCCACTCTACTAACAGTACCAAGACCAGCCGGCCGCTCCCGATACCTCTGCAGCCACTCATCCACCCTTTGACCTTCACCCGTGATAACACTATGTCTGATGCCAAGTTTACCAACAACGACTGCATCCATCATGCTCGGGAAAAGGAAGGGGTGTTGCATAATCTCCGCTTCGAAAGCAGACGCCGTATCCCGTGCTTTCTTGGTATACTCCTCGTCTTCCAGCAACGCACCCAGACGGTCTAGATTCTGCGCTGACACGCCATTCGTGCCTGGTTCAGCGTTATCCATGCCATCTTTCAGCCGCATGATGAGGTCTTGCTGGTTTTCAGGTGTGGAGAAGAAACCGAGGTGTTGTTTGTCCCAGAACATTTTGAGTTGCGTTTGTTGGAGGTCGTCAGCCCATTGGAGGTAGCTGTCGTTGAAGGTGGCTTCGTAGAGGGAGATGAGGCCAGAGATCAGGTAGGCGTAGTCGTCGGCGAAGCCGGGGGCGTCGCCGCGGCCTTCGCGGTAGACGCGGATGAGGGTTTTGGTGGAGGGGTTGTAGAGCTCTTTTTGTAGGAAAGAGGCGGCTTTTTCGGCGGCGGCTAGGTACTGTTTTGAGCGTGTGGGATCTTGTGATGAGAGGGCGGCGGATGTTCGTGCGAGGGCACCGATGGCGAGACCGTTCCAGGATACTACGATCTTGTCATCTAGCCCTGGCCGTGGTCGCTCTTTGTTGCGGTGCTCGAGGAGCTTTTGCCGGCCTTCTGTCAGTATCTTGCTGACTTCGTCCTCCGACAGACCAAACTGTTTTGACAGGTCTGCTGGTGTTGCGGTGATAGCTAGTACGTTCTGGTTGATCAGCTCGTCATGCGCATCGTGTTCGGGCTCGACATTGCCCTCATCCTTGACATTGTAGTATCTCGCAAGAATCTCTGCGTCTCGGTCGCCTAGTATATCTTGGAACTCCTTCAGTGTCCATACGTAGAAGGCACCCTCCCGCCTCTCCTTGTCGTTTGGCCGGTATAATGAGTCAGCGTCCTCTGACGAGAAGAAGCCTCCACTCTCAGCGTGCATCGGCGGGCTGGTAAGATACGTCGCGATATCGTGGACCGCGGACAGATGTTCAGAACTCTTGGTCATGAGATATGCGTCGAGGTATACGGGTAGGAGTTGCGTCTGATCGTACAACATCTTCTCAAAATGCGGTAGGCTCCAATCCTTCGTGACAGAGTATCGCGCAAAGCCATTTCCGATTTGATCGTGTATGCCGCCCTTGTTCATCGCGTCTAGTGTCGCCAGTACCATGTCTTTCGCATGTGTGCAGTCCTTTGCTCCAAGCACTTCCCTGACCGCGTTCGGATATTCTGATAGCTTGAGGAGGAATTGGAGGTTCGAAGGCGTGGGGAACTTGGGTGCGCTGCCAAAGCCTGCGTGCTTCGCATCGTATCGCTTCTTGAAATGCTGTCATGGATTAGTAAACGGTCTTTAGCAAAGCCCCCCATACACACCTCAAATGCTTCATCCAGAAGATCTAGGTCAAGACCTTCGTGAGCTGCGCCATCTTTCCTGCTGATGTTGCCGTCCTCCGCAAAGTCTCGCAGTTGCGCTGTGATTTCCTTCGCCGAGTCCAGACACCTCTGTCGCTGATCCCTCCACACATCGCGAATCTTCTTGAGTATGCCAACAAAGCCAACGTGCTCTCCCATCGCCATCGTGGACCCTGGACCGGGCCAATACGTCCCGCCGAATATCGGTTCCAGATCTGGTGTGATGAAGGCGTTCAGCGGCCACCCTCCTGAGCCTGTTGTTGCCTGAACATAGTTCATGTATATGCGATCAACATCCGGGCGCTCTTCGCGATCGATCTTTATGGGTATGAAGTTCTCGTTCAGCAGCTTCGCGACCTCTTCATTCTCGAACGACTCGCGCTCCATGACGTGACACCAATGACATGCAGCATAGCCTATGCTGATGAAGATCAGCCTGTTCGACTTCTTCGCCAGCTCAATTGCCTCTGGTCCCCACATCTGCCATGCGACCGGGTTGTTCATGTGGCCCCGAACATAGGGGCTGCGGCTCTCATTCAGGCGGTTCTTGAGCTTCAAGTCGTCGCCTGCGGTGGCGGACCCAGCGGAAGAACTATGCGCGTCCATTCTCAGAATAGATGTACGGAAGTCGCGCTGTTGCGCTCGCGATGTGGAAGGTGGGGTCGCAATAGCTGGAGCTGGTAAACGGCGGGTTGGCGCGGTCGCGATGGCGGTGCGGGCAGATCGACAGGAGCCTCGAAAATTGAATCTCACGGCAGGCATACAGCAAAAAAAGAGTTACAGTGAAATCTGGTGGCGCGCGGCTCCGAGGCTACTGGACGTTATCAATCATGCGAAGTAGCTCCGCGCCCCTGCCGAATTGCCCCGCATCCCGCCAACGACGTAATCTCTAGAACCCTGAGTGGCTGGGGATCGGCGCGGAGATTCGGTTCTCTGCAATCTGCATCCCTTCTGACCTGCATCGATTTCGCAGAGTGGTACGCAGATACATCGCGTCAACGTAAGCTTCAGTGTCATGACGTCCGTCGTGCGCCATTTCTAGAAGCTTCCATCTGCTCGGCTTTGGTAGCGAAGCTCTTTGCGGAAAGCTTATCAACAACGCGCGATAGACAAAGATTAGTTATCATAGACAACTTCGTAGCCTGATGTTGTCACACCTGGAGAGGTAATAAGGGGACAGCAACGTCGGCTCACGTATGTTATGTCTGTTCTGGGATGCGATGTCACACAGGATTGTGGCTTGATTGCAAAGAACAAAGTGAGAAAGGGTTAAGATGATGTCTCTGGGGTTCGCCCGTGGTACAAATGCTGAATCTGCGCCCGAAGCAAGTAAGCCCTTCTGTTGAAGAAGATCACATCACGCCTGAGGTGGGTCCATCCTTCCTGCGTAACGAGCTCGAGAGTGGTTTGCAGTGTTCAGCTGTGAAATTACCTGGTGAGAAGTAGTTGCGACCCGTAACGCGGTCTAAGATGCCGCATCTGCCTTGATACTGGTTACAAACGTGAGTAGTCTGTGTAACAAGGAGGTATTCGAGTACGAAATGTATATCGGGGTTGACTGGAGCCACTATCGATCGCTTAAATTGATTTGAGATGAGCGAAGATGCAACGGACGCAAGGGTCTCGACTTCAGTGCTGCAACTTCTCACTGAGACGCTATTGACAGTCATGCCATCCGCAAGCAGAAGTGACTCCTGGCACTGCCAAGGAATGACCTTCACCACTACTATGCACAGATGCACAGTCACCCACTTGTAACCACCTGAGAAATGGCCAGCAGGATCCGACTCCCATCAATGGCATCGCCTCCGTTACAGATACCCTCGTCTTCTCGCGATGGGCGTGATAGTGGCTTCCCAGGTGCGCTCGGGTCGTCTCTCACCTTGTGGTAGTTGCTCCTGCCTCACCGTAGCTACTCTCGCCTAATCCGGTACTGATAAACAATCAACAGCTTCCTTCCTCCCTCCCCTCCACCACGACTTGACTCAACCACCCCACACTCCTTCATCTGTCGCTCCCTCGATTCCCTCCTTGTGCAGTTTGTCTGACAGGATACACTCTCTTTACACTTCGTGCAAGTACACTCACTTCTTTATCTCAGTCGCACCAGTTGCCCTTCGGCACCTCACAGCTCCCAGGAAGCTAGCAACTAGGTAGGCACAGTACTCCTCATTCTGGACTATGTCTAACGTGGCAAGCAGTCTTTCTATCCTGTCCTTACGGTGATCTGGTTTCGACACTACTCAAGAATACTACGTATCCGAGCGCTTCCAGACACTCCAAGATGCATCACTTCATTCTTGTCGCTTCAGCTCTGGCCGCTAGTATCCTCGCTCATCCGCACATCCATGCAAGGCAGCCAGGAGTCGTCTATGAGACCAAGATGATCATACAGACAGTCGTTGTCACGGTTACTCGAGGCTACACTCCGCCGACATCCACCTCTTTGGCGCTATCCGCTACCGCCAGCCCCGAGCCCACTCCGATCCCAGAGCCGATGCCCCAGCCCGCCCCTCAGCCTGAGTCCGCGACTTCCAAGGTTCCTGATGCTCCCGTTATGTCACAAGCACCTATACCCAGCTACAGTCCTGCGCCCAAGCCTGCCGATCCAGTTCAGAAGCATCCATCGGGCGAAGACCAGGCCTACCTTTCCTCTGGCCCCGACTATCAAGCTGCTATACTGTTCCATCACAACGCCGTTCGTGCAAATCACGATGCAGCTCCCCTGACCTGGGACTCCGCGTGCGAGGCGAATGCGCGCATTGCTGCTAGCAGGTGCGACTTCGAGCACTTCACCCCACAGGGCGCCGGCCAAGGTCAAAACTTGTTTGTTGTTTCTGGCGACGCCTTCAATGTTACGGCAGGCATATCGGAGACCTGGTACCATGGCGAGCTTCCGCATATGACGCCTTGGTTTGGCAAGAGTGACCTACCCCATGAGGTCTTCGAGAAGGTCGGTCATCTTACACAGATGGTGTGGAAGGACACCACCAAGGTCGGATGCGTCTCTCTTGACTGTGGTGGGGCCATGACTGTCAACGGCATAGGATCTGCCATGAACAAGTACACAGTCTGCAATTACTCTCCGTCGGGTAACTACAAAGGGCGGTATGCAGCGCAAGTCGCCCCTCCTATCCCATCTGCCAACATCATCGGCTGGGCAGACTAGTCGTCACTTCAGCTGATACGTCCTGTCTCTTCGATCTTCCTGATGATATGGGCTATCAGCGCTTATGATTGTACGGATATCGCTCGGCAGATCGGGAGCATGGGACGCATGAGACAGGCCTTCCCTCGTTGTTTCCTTTCTGGCATGGTTACTAGTCTTCACCTAGCGTTCACTACTTCCATCAGCCAAGTGCCAAAAATCTCAGCGAATGCATATCGCCGTACATTACGATGTATGACCAATCTCAAAATGATTCCAGATGCAGCTTATCTCGACACAATGTCCATGTCCGTGTCTCAAAGTGCTCGTGATGCGTGCAGCTGAAGGTTGCTTGCTTGTGACACTTGTATTTGTCCGTCGCTTCAGCTTCACACAAAATCGGTGCAAATATCTCGCAGTAGTGAAGGAAGTGGTAGCGGCGAAGTTGCGAGAGAGCGGACCCTTTCGACGGGCGCTGATGACGTCGTGTGCGAACCTCGGCCGCTAGCGACGCGTCTCCTGCACACGACGCGTCGCGCTTGCCAACCTCTTTCATCCACTACGGTATGCTTGCTATGCTACAACATGCGATATCGAAGAATCTTTCCTTGCTGCCTTTGTTCTCGAAGCCCAGAACCGAAATGTTACCAGGGAAATATCCCGCGCGCGCGCAGTAGCAGCAAGTGACTGCGTCGCCACGCCCCGCAGTCGGTCTTTCCATTCGCGATGCGGTATCAATACCGCGTAAGGTTTACGCATTATACACTCACTACGAAGTGCGTGGTCAGGGAGACTGCATGGAATCATCTTTTGATACTAGGTATTTGTTCTACATCCCATGTCGCCACATCCGTGACGATGTCTTCACTGCTCGTGCTGAGCTGGCACGGGTACCGTATTTCTGGAGCTTATTTTGACTCGGCAGCCCCGGCATACTGTCACGACTCGAGAGTTTGTGTGCTGCTGGACGTCATAGCTCCGCAAAAGCCTTTCACTACTAGTTAACTTGGAAATGAACGCTGGGTGCACGGTCCCCGATTGCTCCTGCCTAGGAATACCACGAACTCCTCCCTGCCACACTTTACCCACCCAACTGAGCACTACCAGCGACGGACTACATTGAGAATCCTCAACTGCTACCGAATATGGCCTGCGCACCCAACTTCGCGAGTCTTCCCAACGAACTGAAGACAAGCATCTTCTCTTACATCAGATTAAAAAAGGAACAGGCAGCTGTTTGTCTTGTGAGCCGCGATTGCAAACAGATCATGGCGCCCCAAATGTGGTTTTCGCTCGACCTAACACCCACAGCGATGTCAACCGCAAAGACAATGGCCCTTTTAGATCCCGATAGCGGTATACTTCACCACGTCCGTCGAATTTTAGTCTACCACGGCCCACGAAAGTCACTCCGAGGTCACTCTCAGGAGTTCGAGTCTGCCATCCAACTCATTGTAACTGCATTACCGAGAGACACTCTACTTTCTTTCTGTACGTTAATGAATTTTGATCCCGGGTTTTTGCTCAACCTACTCCGCCATCAGAGGACACTTGATCGTCTCGAGATACCTACGAGATTATCAGTCCGGAACCCATTGATCGATCTCCAAGTTTCTACGCATGCGCCCTGGGTTTCCGCTGCGCTGCGCGAATTGAGGAGGCTACAGGTCCACGTTGGCTCGGTCGATTGCGCTCACGCAAACTGCGCATACTTGCTAAGGAACTCTCCAAAGCTTCGTCAGCTCAGCATCATGCCCGAAGAACCTCTAGGACCCACTGGGAGTTATGACGAAGCTTCTCTCGGTAGTTCGAAGGGATGTGACGCTTTTGGTGGTCCATTTGCAGACGGTGTTGTTGTGCAGCCACTGCAGCTAACACACTTGCAATTACGAGTCGATTTGAAGCTGCCTCGACCCGAAACTATACTCGCATACATCAATTTCTCTGGACTTCGATCGCTCTCAATCGACGCTTGTGGTCACGTAGGGCCATTTCTTGCAGCGCTTGCGGCTCAGTTTTCTCAAAACTGTAATCTGATCGGGTTAGAGATCGTATTGCGAGGCTTCGAGATCACCCCGGATGAAGACGTTCGGCTGATTGAAGATGTGCTAATGTCCTGTTCGAGTCTTAAACGCCTCTGGATAAGCACAGGACGGGCCAGAATGGTGAATCCCCGATACATCGTTCGACATGGTAGCACATTACGAGAGCTTGGTCTGAGCTTTAATCCGGAAGGTTCTACATACTATTCCGCACGAGATCTGTCTCTTATCTTGTCATCTGCTCCGTATCTAGAGCAACTAGCTGTACACATATCTCCAATCGAAATGGGCAGTTCACAATCTCTCGGCACAGATTTCACGCTCGCAATACCGAGCTCTTATGATGTACCTAATGCCTTGGAAGCATTCTTGGTAGGTCATCGAGCCCAGGATCCGTATCGAACAATTCGTTAACC